CAGGTCCTCAAGATTTGGCTCAAACGGGAAGAACTCAGAGTTTGGGGGCCAGGAGCCAATGCACGTGTCCCTTGAAGCAAGGAGGGTGACAAGCCAAATGGGGTGCTGAGCTCAAGGACCGAGTGCACAGGATGCCTTTTAGCACGCCCCTGGGTACACTGGGCTGATGAGGGTGTGGCGGCCAACTGTATCTCAGTCAAAGTAGTCACCTGCCTTTACCCTCCCGCTTAGGCAGAATAATCCTCCACCATTCCCAGAGGGGCCTTTTGAAAACATAAGATCACGTCCACACATCCCCACTTTGGCTAAAACCATCCAACAGTCCTGTTGCTCTCAGGGTAAAATCATGTCCTTTGGACATGAGGTCCCAGGTGTGCAGCATCTGCCAACCTGCCCAGCCCCTTCAGCCTTCCTTCTGGTCACCCACAGCCCAGACGCACACCAGTCCCCCAGACCCTTCAACTGCTGTCCATGTCAGCATCCCAGACAGAAAGCTCAAGGCCTGCCAGCCCCTCTTCATACTATTACACTTCAGTGACCACAGCCTTAGGAAGCCTGCTCAGATGCCACTCCCTGACCAGCTCAGAGTCCCACCAGCCCATCTGATGGGAGTTACACTATTAGATGAACCATTACTTACTTGATAATGCAGTTCCCATGAGGTCAGAGTCTTTCTAGTTTGCCTGTTCTACGTCCACGGCCTTGGACAGATGGATGGATGGATGGTCCAGTAGATAGTGAATGAGTGACCGGGTAGGTGGATAGGTGGATGAATAGGTGAATAGATGGGTAGGTTGATGGACAGACCTCCCAGTCAAACCAGACAGCCCACAGATTCTCCTCACACTTTGCTGCCACCTAGAATTCCTTCTCTTTCCTGGATTTGCATACTGAAAGACTGTCATTCCCACAAGGTGGATTTCAAAGGTCACCTTCTCAACAAAGGTCCCCAGGGCCCCCTCCTCAGCTAGAATTGATCTCCTCCTGTCACAAACCCGGTCAGCAGGAAAATGCCCAGATTTTTAAAAAAGCTTCCGTCTAGCCAGAGCCTCAGGGAAGGTCATCCTGGGAGACAGGGGCCATGTGGCTTGCTGGGGATACATAGGTCATGGTGGCAGGTCACGCACACACCAACACACCCCACAGTCTCATGCATCATCCTCCACAGCAGCTCCCTGGCATTCGAATCCACACAGAGAAAATACATGTGTGAATTCACCCCGACCTGTGTGTACCAGGAACGTGCCCCTGGCTCTGCCAGACACCCACAGATGGCTGGGGACTGTGCAGGTAGGTCTCCCATTCAGGTAGGGAGGCCGCCAGGCGGCCAAGTGTATTTACATATAATTTGCATGTGTCGACACAGCCCCTCCCATCTCTGCAGAGAGCACTTCCAAGCTAAGCTGTTATTACTGCTCCTCCAGTGTTCACGCTGCTCACCCACCCACTGCCAACGAGTACTACGCAGGGAGACAGGCCAGGAACTGGCAGAGCTTTCCCGGGACTCATGCCAGTCTCGCTGGGCCTTAGATTCGCCTTGGACAACAAGCAACAACCCACATCCATGGGCAGACCCAAGTGAGCTCCCCACACATAAAGCCTTAATATGAGTACTTGTGGTCTCATTGCAGGGTCAGGAATCAACTCTGGTTTTTTGGTGCCAGAAATCGAACTCAGAACCTTGCCCTTGCCAGGAGAAATCAACTCTCAAAGTTTTTCCCAACACTTTTTCTGATGCCATGTTTGAGCCTCATGGTATGGGTCTCCTATGCTACAGTTTCAAAGTGTCAAAAATATACTAAGGATGTAGGATGCTTAGTTAAATTTGAACTCCAAAGGAACAGTAAATATGTCTTAAACAATCTTTTCATAGTGAGAAAGTATTCACTGTTCACCTGAAACTCAAATTTTAGTTGTGAGTCCTCGTTTTGTCTGACAACCCTACCTGTGACCAGAGGCCCATCGGCTTCTGTTATTACTAATATCCTGTTTTTTCACAGCTTTTTACCAGCTCAGAGAAACACAGCCTCTAGCTCCTAAATGTCCAGCTTCCCAGTCTAGAATGGGAAGAGAAGGCGGGAGATACAAATGAGATAAATTGAGAATTGCTGAGGGAAGAGAGAGGGAGAGACACAGAGAGACAGAGAGGCAGAGAGAAAGAGCACGTGTTTCCTAATTTAGTTAAAATCTACAATCTGTCCCCCTTTGGTCTGTGTGTGGAGCCCGGTGGTTATCGCTGCAAATGTGAGGCTACATTTCCTGTGGCGAAGTCTGTGTGTGTTTTCATCAACAGAGCCTGTTTCTAGGGCTTCTCTCAGGATGTGAGGCCCAGGGCAGGTCGCAGAGGAAGAGGCGAGCTGCGGCAGGGGGGCCAGCAGGCTGGGCCGATCAGCCCTGCGGCTGGCATGAGGCTCTAGCCATGGGAGCCCTTGGCCCAGACCTCCCCACCACGCAGGGCTCAGACAGAACCTTTCCCAGCATGCCGTGCAACGACTGGGCCTCGGGTCCTCCCCAGCTGTGCTGCAGGATCCTGTGGCTGGGATGGAGCTGGGCACACAGGTTCCAGCCAAGCTCTCGGGTTCCCTTGGCACCCACATCGGGCCTGAGGGATGCACAGGGCCACTCTGAGGGCGCTCCCTGAAGCACGGGTGCTCTCAGAATGCTCCAGGCTGTGGGTGACCTCCGTGAAGCACCTCCCACAGTCAGGAGTGACCGTTTGCCCTCAAGGTGTTTCTCTTTGAGAGACAGCTCATGTGGTAAGACTGTGGACATATTGTGCATCCAAAGCAACATTTTTGGATTTTTAAAGATAAAATACAACTACAACAAAAGACATTGGTCCGTTTTTGTTCCTTAAGATGGCCGTATAGCAGCACCATTCCCACTGGGCAGCGGCAAAGATAACACAAGGCCCCTGCTCGGTCCACACACCAGGTTCCTTCACAGGAACTCTAATTCCCACTAAGACCACACCCAGAGATTAAGAACCCCCTCATGGGGTTCTGCTTATTAGACCTCTCCATGCCCAGAAGGATGCCCTTATTCTAAGAACTTGTGAGATTCGGGGGTGGTGGTCCCTTTCAAGGCCAGCTTTGCCGGCAGTCACCAGCACCCCTCTGCACTCTCTGAATTTCTCCGCTTCCAATCACATATCACGAGGCACAACGGAAACTCTCCCAGCCCGCTCCAAAGAGCTCACCAGGTGCCCAGCTTGGGTAGGCCAACCAGAAATGACTCACAGACGGACAAAACTGCACCCCAGCCTGGACAGGAGGTGCTAGACACTGAGTCCTCCATGGCTCGGGCCAACTCTAGGATAACAGGAAATAGTCTGAGTAGCTAAGAAGCATGCAAGGGAGGCCTGATCAGGCGTGAGATGCAGCCCTGTGGTCTCATGGACCTAAGAATAAATACACAAAAGCACCTGCCCCAACTGGCTGGCTACCACTTGGCCTCTCACCATTCCTATGGCCTCTGACTTAGCTAGACAGTCCGCTCTGTCACCATCTCAGGAAGCCGGGTGGCTCCTGCTCTGACGTTGCTCTCCAGAATGAAGACCTTGCCTCCTAAATACAGGAGGGGCCTTTTGGAGTAATGAGCCTCACACCCAACCTCTCCCAATCTCCAACCAGCCGGGTCCTGTGGTCAGCCCCTGCTGTCTCACGGCATTATCTGAATTATGTCGGAAGACGTTCCCAAGTTATGAAATCAACTTTGCCAAAATCAGCCTGTTTGGAGAGTAGGGTCTTATTGTCTTCCTGATGTTTTACTCCAAGCCATGACCAATCATATATATATTTGATCTATCTATCTATATTCGATCCATATATATATACATATATATATATGGTACAACCTCTCCTTTTCTCAAAACAAAGCACAACACTTGCAATTCTCACGTGGCCAATAGCCAGACATCCAAGGACTGGAGCCAGGAGGGTAACGGATAGACCCAGAGAGGAAAGGACAGAGAGCAGAACATTCTGGATGCCCGTGTGTGTCAGAGGCCACACCTTGGCGAGCTGGGGAGTGCCCATGCCGACGACCAACACCTCCAGCTTGACTGACAATGCTAAGGCCCTTCAGAAGTGTGTATGAAACATGCCTGTGACATTAATTAATGCCAGGCAAAATGTAACAGCAGATCTTGGAGACTAAAAATAGATCTTTGCCAACTGATTCATCCCCTGACTGCACAGAACGGGGAGCCTCTTTCTCTGCTCCTCTTTTACATGTACATTGCGTTATGGCCTGTTCCCCCTTCCTCTCCATCTTTGTTGAGCTTTGTTTCTCTCCTTCGTGCTGAGAGGTTCCAACCTTTCCGAAGTGATGTCCCACTCAGCTACCCTCCGACCCACAAACATGCTTAATAAGCAAGGAAATCATTTCTCTTCCTGGCTCCCATGGTTGTAAGCCATGTCATTTGCACTTAATATTTTCCATGCGGATGTCTCTGCCTGTGGCATCACACACAGGACTCTATAGCTTCGTTTCCGACTCCAGCCCCTTCTATTTTAAACTTTGTTGATTTCTGCAAGGAAGGAAGCCTATTTCATACAGATTAGCTGGACAGCTGGGTCTGATTGCTTCTGATTACCGGGCTCGGGGCCACGAGGGAAACAGGTTTCCCAAAGCCCCTTGGACGGGGCACCATTCCACATGGCCCCTGAAGTGTGGGTCACGGCCAGCTCCAGGGAGGAAGGGCTAGCAATCAACAGGTCAAGCCAAAGGCAGGATCACACCTGAATCCACACCTCGGGTTTCAGAGCTGGGCTGGAAGGTGAAGGGGAGTAGAGGGAGCCCCTGGGGTCAAGGTCTGTGGAGGCCCTCCGTGGGGCTTGTGTCAGAACGAACGACTGTGTGGTGGGGGAGGACAGCCATCACGCTGCCTCCCAGGAACACTCAGAGGCAGCAGCCCAGGCTCGGTGATTAAGATCCCTCGCCTGGCCTTGCATCCCAGACCTCCAGGTGCACAAAGAAATCACAAAGTCCTCTCTCACCTTTGAGTGGTCACTCCCCAGGCAGGGGGCGGCTGCCGCGCTCTCCTGGTGGCTCCGGTGAGGCAGGAGCTTTCTCCCTGCTCGTCCCATCTCTGCCTTCTTTTTATGTCTCCTCTAGAGAAAATCGAGTGCTGGAGAGTTAAAAAAAGCAGAACTGTGTGTGTGGAGGGCGGTGGGTGTCGGGGTGCAGGGGCGGTGGGGAGCAGGGGACCCCGGGGGGTGGTAGCAGCCTGCCCTGGTGTGGGCTCGGGGGTAATGGCCGACGCTGGCGAGGTGGCTTTGCCTGCGAGAGCTCAGTGGCACGCAGCTCTGCGTGTGGGCGGCAGCAGCTCCACGGCTGGGTTTCAAACCATTACACTGAACATTTGCAAACAGATAAAAAAACAAAACCATCGGGCACAAATGGAAACTTCTGTTTTCCTTCCTCTCTCCACGCTCTTTCCCCTCTATCTCTCCTCGCCAGCTCCTGAGGAAGGTGAGGGTCAGGGTGGGCACTTCCCCACGGGTCCCCCCCCCCGCCCCATCCTTGCCCGCCCCGCTGGCACAGAGGCTGCTGCCACCGCGCACAGGTACACCAGGGCTGCACGGCTCGCCCACAGGCCTTGGGGAGCACCCAGTCACTTGAGAAATGTTTACTCTCCTCTGGGGTCCCCGCTTAGCATCCAGCCGCTGAGAAACATCCAACACACAGAAGATCTGCTGGTGTCTCGTGTAACCCACTTTCTTACTGGCCACCAAAAAGCAGGGTGAGAGGCACTTCCCGTGCAGGTGACACTTTTCCCGAGGAACATTCTTTGAACAGTGGGATGAGACACTCCATGACAAGAAAAGGATGTGGTCAACGTACCTCGGGAAATGATGTACCCTTCCTGCTCAGGGGAACCACAGGACACTTATAGGTAAAGGCTCTGAGAAGTCCTGCAGCAAAGCATTCTTGTTATGTTTTGTTTAATCCAACAATTTCCAAGTGTCAAACCTTAGATGAAAGGATCCTCCCCCCCTTAAAACAAATACACACGTACACAGTACACTCACCCCGTCTTCTGCCCCTCGCCCTGAGGGTGACATTACATAAATCAACTCTCACAGCAAGAGTACAGGAAAAGATCAGTTTGAGGAATGGGGGCTGTCAAGGTTCTTAGCTCAGCACATTTTCAGTTTGGTGTCTACACTGGTGCCAGAGACAGGTGTCAGTGGGTTGAGACTGTGGTTCTGCTTTGTGAACAGAACCGAACAGAGCTACAGTGGGTCTGGTGATGCCAATGTCTCAGAGCCGTAGTGGATTTTGGTCCATCTCGTCGCCCTGCAAGAGCAAACCCTCCACACTTCCCCAGCCCAGGAACGGGCAGCCTGTGACGGGGGCGCAGGAGCAACTCCCAGGACCAGCATGGGGCAGCAGAGGGGTCCCTTCACCCCACAGACCAGGGGCACACCCTGAAGATGAGGCAGAAGTGTGGCAGTCAGAGTCTGGAAGATGACGCTCAGTGGAGCTCCCGCCAGGATGGCTGCACCAGGAAGATGGCAGGGGAGCCAGCACAGGAGAGGGGAGGTGACACCGGGGACTAGCTGGGTACAGAGGTTTATGTGGGCCGCCGGACAAGCAAATCGGCAGGCTTTTGCCCTGCGATGCACCAGCTGTGGGGCCACTGCCAAGCCCTCTGTTCACCTGAGCCTCAGCCTCCTCATCAGCAAAGTGGTGTAAGTCAGTGATGGCTTTTGGAGCTTTCAATAATATGAACAGCCCACTGTGACACACGGGCCAAACTTTCACCACCACTAGCTTAGTCAACTGCTCCCAACCAATGGCCATTTTGCTGTCCCAGGGACACTGGGCAATGTCTGGAGACAATCTGGATTGTGACAGTGGAGGAGGGGATGGGCACGGGCAGAGACCACGGCTGCTGTTGAAAGGCCTCCAATGCATGGGACCCCACAATTGAGGGCAGTCCAGCCCCAAACAGTTCACCGGTGCAGAGGCACAGACCCTGGGCTCATGGCTCCTCCAGTACCCACTGGTGGAACTCAAATGGGGTCGTGTGCACCAGCACCCAGTGTATACCGAGGCCATCTGTAATCTCCCTCCTGAGAGACTCCGTTCATTCAGTGGCTTTTGCTTCTTGTTAGGTGACAACATGGAAGCAAATGAGAGTGAAGTTAAAAACTCCTTGCGTCAGACCAAAGAAAGAAAGAGAGAGCGCTGGCCTACCTGACAAATGCTCAAAATTACAGGATTTTATTTTTTAAAAAAATAAGGAAATAAAAGAAATGCCTCCTCTTGCTTAAGCATATCAGACAACTTGAACTCTGTGTGAACAGAGCGAAACGGGTATAGAAAAGCCCTAACAAGCACCTGAGCACTTTGGTAGATAATCATTCATAATTAGAGCATTTTATAGAATCCATTAAAGAGGCTTTAAACAAAGCTGAGAATTATTTGTTGACCTCCACTCCGAAGGAGGCAAACGGTCGTGCTGACAACACTAATGCGTCCAGCCTGGTTGGGGACTTTCTTTTAAGAAAATCTTCAGCCCAAGTTGCAATAAAATCCTCAGCACCCAGCAAGGCCAACAAAAGAGACTGGAATCCGAGCGGCAGCGATGTTCCAGCTGCCCAGCATCAGGAGGGTGATCCGCTCAGGTTCCACGCTGGTCTCCCACCGCCATGGGACCCCTGAGGCATACTCAGGCCCAGGCCTGGGCAAGGGTCCCCTCCTTAGCATTGAGAAGTCCCAGGTGAGTGCCAGGTCTGCAGAGTCAGGTAGGGCCAGGCCAGCGGCAGAGGGGGAACAGCAAGGCCAGCTCAGGAAGGAAGGAAGGAAGAGAGGATGTGTGTGAGGAGTCACATGCGTGGCCTGTCACCTCTCAAAGCAGCTTTCGAGGAAGGGACAGCCAGCCAAGTTCCTGGCGTGGCCTCTCAGCAGGGCTCGTGCTGTCCAGCTGCCTCAGCTTCCTCCAGGCCTGGATGCAAACCTTGCGCCCCACCCAGCCACCTCAACTCTCCCAACTGTGCTTGTTGCCTGGCTCACTTGCTCCTGAGGACACGCTGTGGCCTTGCACTTGAGAACCTTCTGGGCCACAGAGCAAAATGATAAAGAACAGAACAGAAGCCTGGCCTCTGGGCTCACTAACTTCATAGTCAGAGGAAAACCAAAAAAATCAAAACTCAAAGAACAATTTCAAAAGATCCAAGTCAATCAGTCACTGGCTGACAATTTGAACCTCTACCACATAATAGGAGCAGGCTGGGCGGGGGGGGGGGAGGCATGGGTAGAAAAATTACTATCAAAAACCACAATGGAAATAGAACAGTGTTACTCAGTTCCAGCCTGGGAGTCCTACTCATGAAGACCTCAAGGTGAGGCCATCTCTCTCCGTGGAAAGGGGTTAGGAACAGCAAGATGTTGATGACCCGTGACTGCCCTTGGCCCAGGGCCTTACAGAGGGGGCAGATTTCCTGTCCTGCGATGTGTCCCCATTCAGTGCCAGGTCCCATGCACCTTAAGGTCATCTCATGTCGCATGATGGCTCCTGATGAAGTAGGGCATTGCGGCAGAGGGAGCTCAACCCCGGACTTCGGGTCCCTGAGGGAGGAGGCGGTTCAGAACCTAGGACAGCTCCCGGGCCTGGTCGTCTAGTTCCTCATTTTTTCCAGGCTGCTGCCAAGGCAGAGGACACATGCGAGCGCACTTCCCACCCAGAGAAACCCGCTGGTTTGTCCATCAGAGTCCACCGCTTCCCGCATGCCTGGCTCGCTCTTGGCTCTGCTTCCTCCTGGCTTCTCCCCCGTCCCCACCGCCCGCTGCGGTCTGTCAGTCCATCTAGCACTCAGCTGTGCTGCGCAAGCATCTGACCACTTTTCCCCAGGCCGCATGGAGCCCACAGATGAGCAGAACTGGACATCTGGGCCAGCCCATCAGCGGTCATCCATCCTCAAGACGGCAGCTGTGGGGCCGTCGGTCCCCACTGAGTCGGCACCAAGCAAGGGGCAGAAATAAGTGAGCTTCCCCAGGGAGACACAGCCGGTCCCGCGGACTTTCCAGGCTGAGCGTCAGGAGAGGAAGGTGTGGGCCAGGCCGCTGATTTACGAGCTCATTAAATGTGGCTCGCACACAGATTTTTTTAAGTGTAATAGTAATATTTTTCTCTTAATGTGACTTTGATAGTACAGTTAGACACGGCAAACTCGTATGTTCTCTTTTTAATAAAAATGTACCACCAGTTAAAGAAAAGTATTAATTTTATTGTAAAATGTACATAGAAAGCCAAAGTTATTGCAATAATAAAATTATTTTGAAAAAGAAAAATAAAGTTGAACGAACCACAGTATCTAATTTTAAGCGTTACTATATAGCAACTGTAATTAAATCGTGCAGTATTCATGAAGGTAAACACCTGAATCAATAGTAAAGAACCCCGAAATCGGCCCACACAGCTATGCTTGGCTGGTTTCGACAAAGGTTCAAAACCAATTTAATGGAGGAAGAAAAATCTTTTCAACAAATAATGCTGGAGCAATTAGATTCAGTAGGGAGAAAGAGACAGACAGACAGAGACTGACAGAGACACAAAGAGACCCTAAACCTCATGACTTATACAAAAAAATAACTCAAACAGCTTATAGATTTAAATACAAAAACTACAAAAATTTTAAGGAAAAATTAAGAAAAATTTTGGAATTTAGGGTTAAGGCAGAGTTCTTAGATATGCCCTCAAAAATATCATCAATAAAAGTCATTAAGTTAGGCTCCATTAAAATTTAAAATTTTTGCTCTGTAAAAGATCCTGTTAAGATGAAAGACAAATCATAAGTTGGAAGAAAATATTCACGAACTCCGTATCTGAGATGAGACTCATACGGGCCTACACAAAGAACCCTCAAGACTCAACAATAAAGAAGCATAATCCAATCAGAAACGGTAGCAGGCATGAGCAGACACACCCCAAAAGATGGCCACATGAAAGGCACAGAGAACTGTCAAGCACACCTGTAAGCACGACAGACATCAGCAAAGCCGCACACCCCGTGCTGGGAGAGCTTCGGGCAAACCTAGGAACCAGCGGCTGTTGCTCTGAGTACTATGGGCAGTCACCCTGAAAGCCAGTTTGGCAGCTTGCTACAAAATTAAACACATACTTACGGGACACCGCGCCTTCATAAACATGCACACGTATATCCCAGAAAAGTAAAAGTGTGTTTCCACAGACTATGAACGTATGTTTGATATGCAATAGCCAATGACTGGAAACAGCCCCCGTGTCCTCCAAGAGGCGTGGTTAGGTCAATAGTCAGACTGTGGAACCCTGCTCACCAACCAAAGGGCACGATCTACAGTGAGGCCCAGTGTCTTGTGCACTACGATTCAATGTGTGTAACAGCT